GGAGTGGGGACGTGTGGGGATGGGGCTCTGGGGGGGGCATCTCCAGGTCCCCGACGGAGACCCTTTGGGGTCCTGTGCCCGGTGGCACAGCCGGTTCAGTTGTTTTGGTGCAACAGGCTCAGCCCGGCTGCAACTTTGCCCCCTCGAGCCCCTGCTGTCAACTGGCATGAGGGGTGCCCCGGGGGCCGCTCCCTGGCCCCCCCCAGTAGGCAATGAAACTGCTTGCTGCTCCCCCCATGTCCCCTCCCCGTGGCTAGGACACCCCCTCCATGTACCCCCAGGATGCTCCCACCCAGGCAAGGGGCTGGGATGAGGGGAATGCGTGTGCTGGGACAGGGACCCCCATCAGGCAGTGGACAGCCTCCCCCGGACCCCCCTCCCCAGCTCTCTTCCCATGGAGCCCACCCACGGACTGGGCTGCCCGTCCCAGAGAGCCCCAGCTCCGGGCTCCACAGCGGTGAGCGGGGGCACCAGCACCTCCGCCCCAGTTAGGGCTGCCTGGACCCAGGGGGAGACTCCTTTGCAATTCATCTGTGTAATGAGTTCTGCCTCCCCTCAGCCAGCAAAAGCTGAGAGGGGCGAGACGCTGTCTGCCAGGGGCAGAAGGGGGTGTCATCACTGCAGTGCACCCCTAAGCATCCTGGGGGGATCGGGGGGGGCGGGGGGCTCGCTGAGGGCAGACTGCGGCCAGCGCAGCCATGCCAGGGAGGTCTGGCTCTTACCCAGAGCCCAGCGATGCTGAGGGAGCACAGGGCTGCGCGGGGGAAACCTGCTCACCCGAAAGCCCCACAGCGGGTGGGAGCAGCACCCACAGCCACGGCACGGCAGTGACCTTCACGTCCGTGTTCCCCCCCCCAATCTCCTCTCCCCTCCCCGGCCAGGACTGCGAAGGCTTTGAGAAATGCTGCACCAACGTGTGCGGGCTGAGGAGCTGCGTGGCTGCCCGTTTCGCCGACGGCAGCCTGCCGGCGCTGGCGCTGGCGCCGGCGGCCTCGTGCGAGAGCTTCGTGTGCGCGCAGCAGGGCTCCGACTGCGACATCTGGGACGGGCAGCCCGTCTGCAAGTGCAAGGACCGCTGCGAGAAGGAGCCCAACTTCACCTGCGCCTCCGACGGCCTCACCTACTACAACAAGTGCTACATGGACGCCGAGGCGTGCCTGCGTGGCACCCGCCTCACCACCGTCCCCTGCAAGCACATCTTCACCTGGCCCGACACCAGCCCCGTGCCGCAGGAGACGACGGCGCGCCCCACGCCGGGAGCTGGCCCCGAGGTGCCGGTGCCCCCGGCCCTCTACAGCAACCCCTTCCACCAGTCGGTGCGCGCCGGCGGCACCGTCAGCTTCCGCTGCGACGTCAGCGGGCGCCCGCGGCCGGACATCACCTGGGAGAAGCAGAGCGAGCGGGAGGAGAACTTCATCATGCGGCCGGACCAGATGTACGGCAACGTGGTGGTCACCAACATCGGCCAGCTGGTCATCTACAACGCCCGCCACGAGGACGCCGGCATCTACACCTGCACGGCCCGGAACGCCGCCGGGCTGCTCCGCGCCGACTTCCCGCTGTCGGTGGTCAGGCGGGAGCCGGGGGGGACCCCGCGGGCCGGCAGCCCCCAGCCCTTCCCCAGCGCCGAGTGCCTGAAGGAGCCGGACCGGCGGCGGTGCGAGGCCCTGGAGGTGCGCTGGCACTTCGACGCCAAGCAGGGCTCCTGCCTGACCTTCCGCTACGGGGGCTGCGGGGCCAACAGGAACCATTTTGAGACCTACGAGGAGTGCCGGGCTGCCTGCTTGGGCAGCGCCCGCCCTACCTGCCTGCTGCCCATGGTGCAGGGTCCCTGCCAGAACTGGGAGCCCCGCTGGGCGTACAACCACCTGCTGAAGCAGTGCCACTCCTTCGTCTACGGCGGCTGCGAGGGCAACACCAACAACTTTGAGAGCAAGGAGACCTGCGAGGACGTCTGCCCTTTCCCCAAGAGCCTGCAGTGCAAGGCTTGCCGCCTGAAGAGCAAGATGGTGCTGAGCCTCTGCCGCAGCGACTTTGCCATCGTGGGGCGGCTGATGGAGATCGTGGAGGACCAGGACTCCGGCATCGCCCGCTTCGCCCTCGAGGACGTCCTCAAGGATGAGAAGATGGGCCTCAAGTTCTTCAATATCAAGTACCTGGAGGTGACCTTGACCGACATGGACTGGAGCTGCCCCTGCCCTAACATGACGGCGGAGGACGGGCCGCTCATCATCATGGGCGAGGTGCACGACGGCATGGCCACGCTGGACCCCAGCAGCTACGTCCGGGCGGCCAACGACAAGCGGGTGAAGAAGATCTACGAGCTGATGGAGAAGAAAACCTGCGACCTCCTGAACCGCTTCCAGGACTAGGGGAGAGCCGGGATGTGATGACGTGGGGGGGGGG